AATTTTTGAAAGAATAGTAAAGATAGTTATTATTTTAGTACCTATTATGTGCCAAACTCTATTTGATAAGCTCTTTCATGTAATTCTTAAGAGTGATCCTATGATTTATCTTTTACTTATTGAACTTTTATTTACTTAGAGGCAGAGAAGAAACTGTAATCTTGGTCCATTTATGCCCATTATCCAAGTTCTATTTTATTTTATTTCTCCTTATTTTGTCCTCACCAACAGTCAGTTGTTACAAAGACAGTTCTGTCCTTTTGATTTCTCCCTCAGTTATTTTGTGATTTAAAGTCAGCACATCCCTAACATTAGTTTTTTGCTTTCATTGAGAACTATTTGTTTTGTTTACTAATATTTTATAATAAGCAAATTACTCTCCTGCCTCTTTTCATAAGATGACAAGGAAAACATCAAAAACATTGTGATTCATTTTGTGTGGTTTACAGATTTTTAAAAAATTAACTTGTGCCCAGATTTTAAATCATCTAATGTAAAGATACATGCATTTCAGGAAATTATGAAAGTAAACGTCAAAGAAAACCAACTAAGAAACTTCTTGAATCCAATGATTTAGACCCTGGATTTATGCCCAAGAAAGGGGACCTTGGCCTTTCTAAAAAGGTATGTTATTTTTCGTAAGTTCTAAATTAAACTTAGGAAATTAGAAATTTTAAAAACATTTCGAGTAGTAGTTATAACATTGATGTACATACATATAGAAATGAATGTGTGTGTGTCAGCATGCATACATGATCTGAGAGTTCCTACATGAAAGGGTATTTTGCAGTTGTGTGAACATGTATGTATCTAAATTGGTTTCAGATTTCCTTTCCAAACAAAAAAAAATTTTAAATGCTTTTAAGATTGAATAAGTTTGTGTTTGTTACTATTTCTTTTCTGGGTTCAAATCCTCTTACCTGTTTTCTACTAAACTACTATTGAATATCACTAGTTTAGTCTATCGTATTGCTGTGTCGTTGTGACCTTTTGTTTTGTCTTTTGAGATTGTCTGGTTCTGTCACCCAGGCTGGAGTGCAGTGGCACAATTTTGGCTCACTGTAACATCTGCCAGGCTTGAGCAGTCCTCCTGCCTCAGCCTCCTGAGTAGCTTGGGACTACAGGAGCATACCATCACCTCCAGTTAATTTTTTGTATTTTTTTTTGGTAGAAATGGGGTTTCACGATGTTGGCTACGCTGGTGTTCAATTCCTGGCCTCAAGTGATCAGTCTGCCTCTTCCCCTTCCTTTTTTTTAATACGGTCTCGCTCTGTTGCCCAGACTGGAATGGACTGGTGCAATTTTGGCTCACTGAAATTTCTGCCTCTCAGGTTCAAATGATTCTCATGCCGCAGCATCCTGAGTGGCTGGGATTACTGGTACTTCTGAGTAACTGCGATTACAGGTGCATGCCACCATGTGTGTCTTTTTTTTTTCTTTTTCCTCGTATTTTTTGTAGAGACAGGGTTTGTCCATGTTGGCCACATTGGTCTTGAATTCCTGGCCTCAAGTGATCCGCCCACCTCGGTCCCCCAAAGTGCTGTGATTATAGGCGTGAGCCATGGCACCTGGCCTGCCCTGTCTTCTTAACACCTCAGAAAAAAACAATCAGCTCTACAGTAATCCAAGCAGAACACAGAGTTGATTTTCTGTAGCTAAGAAAGCATTATTAAATGTTAGATAGAAATAGAAACTTTAGGCTGGGTGCAGTGGCTCATGAATGTAATCCTGGCACTTTGGGAGGCTGAGGAGGGCGGATTACTTGAGGTCAGAAATTCGAGACCGGCCTGGCCAACATGGTAAAACTCTGTCTCTACTAAAAGTACAAAAATTAGCCAGACATGGTGGTGCACGCCTGTAATCCCAGCTACTTGAGAGGCTGAGGCATGAGAATTATTTGAACTTGGGAGGCGGAGGCTGCAGTGAGCCGAGATCACAGCCACTGCATTGCAGCCTGGGTGACAGAGTGAGACTCTGTTTCAAAAAAAATAAAAAGACCTTTTTAAAAAATTGAGATACAATTTTCAATAAAATATATCTAATAAAAATGCGTAGATCTTAATTATTATGCTTAATGGCTTTAGACAATTGTATATACTATCTAAATGCTGGCTAAGCTAGGTACAATGTATAGTTTCCACCTCAGAAAATGCCTTTTTTGCCTCTTTTCGTTCAATTACCCACACTTGTTCAGAGGCAATGCTTTCTTATTTCTCTTAACATAGATTAATTTTGTTTATTCTTGGACATCAATATCCATGTATTTCTTAAATTTTAATTCTGGCTTTTATACAACATGTTTTTACTACACACTGACA